CTGAGACCTAGGTCTCAGGTTTTTGAGAATAGTCTAGTAGGGATTATAGCGTTGAAGGTGCAGCTGCAGTCAATGTGTAGGAGCCTGACTTGGGTATCCTTATTATCCAGATGTTCAAGAGATGAGTGTAGGGCCTGGAGAAATGGCATTAGCTGTGGACTTGTTTCGCCAGTAGGCAAATTTCAGGGGATTGAGGCAGCCTGGGAGGCTACAGTTGATGTGGGCCATGACCAGCCTCTCGAAGCACTTCATGATCATGGAGGTCAGTGCCATCAGATGGTAGTTGTTGTGGTACGTTGCATGTGTTATCTTTGGTACTGGGATGATGGTGGTCTTCTTGAAGCAGGTGGAGACTTCAGATTGTAGCAAGTTGAAGATGTCAGTGTGTATCCCCGCGCGCCAGATGGCACAAGGCCTAAGTGCACAGCCGGGGACTCTATCTGAGCCAATCACTTTCCTCGGGTTTCCTCTCAGGAAGACTGGTCTGATGTCTGCAGAGGTGACTGAGGGAACGGGTGTGCCTGGGGATATCGGTGCACGTGTCACCGCGCCACTGGCATTCTGCTCGTACCGAGCATAGAAAGCATTGAGCTTTTCAGGGAGGGATGTTTTTATGTCTGCTGTTTTGTTCTGCTTCATTTTGTATCCCTTTATGTTGTGTAGGCCTTACCACAGGCGGCGGGAGTCTGTGTGGTTAGTTTGGGCCTGTAACATGGTCCGGTACTGCCTCTTGGCATCTTTAATGGTCTTGCAGGGGTCGTACCTGGATTTCTTGTAAAGGCCTGGGTCAGCTGACTTGAATGCTGCGTATCTGGTCTTCAATAGGCAGTGGATTTCCATCTTGTTGGTTCCCTCACAAGCCCCTGCAGCCTCTTGTTATTTAATCTGGCCTGCCCTCCACTTTATCATGGATCATCCTTTTTTTAAAACTGTATCCTACATGAATAACGTAAAACCATATTTTTAACTTCTTTCTGTTCTGATGAAAGGTTACAGATCTGAAATGTGCTGCTAGCAAGTTTCAGGATTTTGGCCCAGCAACAGTTAAGGGGAGAGATATTGTTCCAAGTTGGGATGGGAATGAGCAGATTGTAGCATTCCAATTTTTCTACTGCCCTTGCCCTTACACGTAATAGAAGAGATGGGTTTTTTCTCAACCACTTGGTTAGGAGCCTCCAAAGCACAGATATACTGGAGTGCCTGTATAGGTTGAGTACCCTGCTGAAGCCTCCTCTACAAAATTCCCAATTTTCATAATTTATCCCAGACATTATAACCAGCAATGACTTGGCAGAATGCATCAATCCCCAGGAGTTATTCAAAAAAAACCCTGAAGGACAGAATTGATCTCTACTTGGAAGGCAAGGATTAATCAAAGATAATCAACATAGCTTTGTAAGGTGGAGATCGTGTCCAACAAAGTTAATTGTAGTTTTCAAGGTTACTAGGTGTGCAGATGAGGATAGTGCAGTTGATGTGGTCTACATGGGCTTCAGTAAAGCTTTTGACTATGTCTCACATGACAGACTCATTAAGACTCTAACAGCCAATGCGATCCAGGGCAATTTGGCAAATTGGCAAATTGGATCTAAAATTGGCTTAGTGGCAGGAAGCAAAGGGTAATCATCAATGGGTGCTTTTGTTACTGAAGTCTGTGTCCAGTGATGTACCACAGGGTTCGGTGGGGGGGTCCATTACTATTTGTTACCTACATTAATGATCTAGACATGACTCTTGAGGTATGACCAGTAAGTTCATAGTTGACATGCAAATTGATGGTGTGGTAAATAGTGAGGAGGAAAGCCTTAGACTGCAAGATTATATAAATAGTTGGGGCTGAACAATAACAAATCAAATTCAATCCCGATAAATTTTAAGTGATCCATTTTTGAAGGATTAACAGGGCAAGGCATTTAATAGGAGGACCCTGGGAATTACAGACAATCAAAAGGACCTTACTGTGCATGGTCTTAGATCCTTGAAGGCAGCAGGATAAGTGGATAAGGTGGATAAGAAGGCTTATGGGATACTGGCCTTTATTAGTTAAGGCATTAATACAAGAGCAAGGAGCTTATAGTGGAAAAAAGAAACAAAGAACTGCAAATGCTGGAAATCTAAAACCAAAGCAGAAATTGCTGGAGAAACAAGCTATTGCATGGGGTGGCACAGTGGTTAAGTGGTTAGCACTGCTGTCTCATAGTGCCAGGGACCCAGGTTCAATTCCATGCTTGGGTGACTGTGTAGAGTTTGCACATTCTGCCCGTGTCTGCATGGGTTTCCTCCAGCTGCTCTGGTTTCCTACCACAATCCAAAGATGTGTAGGTGAGGTGGATTGACCATGCTAAATTGCCCATAGTGTTCAGTGATGTGTAGATTAGGTGGGTAATAATGGGATGATTGGGATGTTCTGAGGGTCAGTTTGGGCTGAAGGGCCTGTTTCTGCACTGTAGGGATTCTACAATTCTATGGAACTTGGCAGGATCTGTGGTGACAAAGTAGAATTAATGTTTTGGGTCCACAGATGCTGCCAGACCTGCTGAGTTTCTTCAGCAATTTCTGTTTTTGTTTGGGGTTATGGTGGAGCTGTATACAATGTTCGTTAGGCTATCCTAGTCATCATACAATGGGAAGGATGTGATTGCATGAGAGAGGATGCAGAGGAGATTCACCACGATATTGCCTGGCCTGCAGTGGTTCATCTATGAAGAGAGGTTATTTAGTTGAGATTGTTTTTCTTTGACCAGAAATGGCTGAGGTAGGAAAGGGTGAGAGGAGGGGACAGTGGCCAGAATCTGATTAAGGTATGCAATATTCTGAGGTTAAATAGGGAGAAACGTTTCCCCCAGTCATTGTCCAGGAGAACAAGTTTAAGTTAAGGAGCGGCAGTTTTGAAGGGGATTGGAAGAAAAGAAAAATCACCCAGAGGCTGGTACCTGGAACTCACTGCCTAAAAAGGTGACACAGGAAGTAACCCTCAAGGCATTTAAGAACTATTTTGATGAACACTTGAAATGTTATAGCACAAAGGCTACAGGCCAAATGCTGGAAAACTGGGTTAGAATAGACAGTTGCTTGATGACCAGAATGGACACAATGAATTGAAAGGCCATGGGCAGCACAGTGGCTCGGTGGTTAGCACTGCTGCATCACAGCACCCAGGACGTGAGTTTGATCCCACCCTCGGGCGACTGTCTGTGTGGAGTTTGCACATTCTCCTTGTATCTGCCTGGGTCTCCCTTGGGTGCTCTGCTTTCCTCCCGCTGTCGAAAGATGTGTAGGTGAGGTGTATTGGCCATGCTAAATTTCCCCATAGTATCCAAAGATGTGTGTGTTAGCCATGGGAAATGCAAGGTAACAGGGATAGGGTAGGGTGTTGGTCTTGGTGGGGTTTTCCTCGGAGGGTCTGTGTGGGCTTAATGGCCTACTTCCACACTGTAGGGATTCCATGAAATGGTGCAAAAATTCTACAACTCTAAATCCATTCATTGCTTCACTATGAGAGTGGATGGCCCTTCTAAGCATCTGCCACTAAATAAAATGAAGTTATATTCATCAAGTTCTCTCATCAGAGACAGATGGTGATGGCTTAACCTGAGGGGCATGATGCCTCAGGTGAGGAGAGAGGGTGAATCCTTTCAAGTTACCTCAACTGATGCAGAAATTGAACCCACACCAAGGGGCCATTATTCTGTATTGTCGACCAGCTGTACCACCAACTGAGCTAACCAAACCCCAATCTGCTGCTATGTTAGTGGGAAAACTGTCAATGCTCCACAATAGCTGCTATATTTTTATTTTGCTCATCTTGTAAACAGACCTTGGGGCATGAAGTCCACAACATATCCTGTTTGCTCCAGTAATAGGGACAGAGTTACTCAGCTATCAATGAGTGACTGTGAAGCCATGTATGGGTGAAGAGTTGGCTGAGCTTCACCATAATGAAAGGCCGCTTGAAGGTAGTAAGGCAGGTGGATAAGGTGGTTAAGGAAAGCATGTGAAAGAGTTGCCTTAGTTGAGGGATATAATACAAAAGCAAGGAAGTTATAATGTGGCTCTATATAATCCAAGTTAAGCTACAGCTGAAGTACTGTGTGCAGTTTTGGTTGCCATACTATAGGAGGGATGTGATTGCCTGAGAGAAAATGCAGAAGACAGTCACCAGGATGAAAAGAGAAAGGAGTGCAGGTGCTGGAAATCTGAAACAAAAACAGAAATTGCTAGAAAATCTCAGCAGCTCTGGCTGCATCTGTGGAGAGATATCAGTTAACCTTCTGGATCCAGTGAACCTTCTTCATTTCAGCAACGAAGAGAGAGGAGATAGGCTGGGGTTGTTTTCCTTAGAGTGGACAAGGTTAAGGTGCAGGAGTAAAGGGACTTGATTAAGGTGTACAAAATTATAAAGGGAATATATAGGGTACAGTCATACAGCACAACAACAGACTCTTTGGTCCAACCAGTCCATGCCGAACATAAGCCCAAACTAAACTAGGGGGATCAATAAACAGGAGACATAAATTTAAAATGTTTAGAAGGGAAGAAATTCACCCTGAGGGCAGTGTGTATCTGGAACTAATATGCTAAAACGTCGGTAGAGGTGGAAACCATTACAACATTGAAGAAGTATTTAGATGAACACGAAATGCGGCAGCACACGAGGCCAAGTGCCAGAAAAATGGGGAGTAGCATAGATACAGTTCTGAGGAAGGGTCACAGGACCCGAAACGTTAACTCTGTTTTCTCCTTCACAGATGCTGCCAGACCTGCTGAGCTTTTCCAGCAACTTTGTTTTTGTTCCTGATTTACAGCATTCCATTTCTTTCGGTTTTTATTTGAGTAGCGTTGATAGGTGCTTGATGACCCGAATGGACACGATGGACCAAAGGGCCTCGTTCCCTGTTTTTCCTTCTCTGCGTACTTGTGCATTTTAAATCATCAGCCTCAGCTCCGCAGCTTTTATTTAATTGTTGCTGTGTTTTTTTTCTTGTTGCTGTCTCGCTGGAATCTGTCGCCACACGCCTCAGCATAAGCAGCTGGCATAAAGTGATGGAGCTGATAGCTGGTTACAGGGAAGGCTGTGAGTGAGTCACAAAGGAAATGGATTTTGAGACGGAGGGTTGGGTCAAAATATCCTAAATTACCTCTTATGTAAAAGAAGGCTTGGGGCAGCTGGAACGTTGGTTGGAAGACTTTGGGATTACCGTTGTGACTCAGAGCCTCGATTGGCCATCCGTCGGGTAAGTGGCTCATTTATGTCGGTGACATTCCCTAAACTGTTCGGTCTCTAGTTAGTAAGGCAGGTAAGAGGGCTGCAGTTATCGTTCACTGTCGTGGCTGCCGGATTCTCCCGCATTCAGAACCCAAACTAGGCATTTGAAACTTTAACTTCTTTATTAAATCCTGTGTTATTCAGCCGCCGCTCCCTCATTGACACCCGCACACACACACAACGCAGCCTGAGCAGGTCTTTTAAAAGAGGTGCTGCCTCTCAAACCCTACCCCGGCTTCGGGTCGATCTGCGAGATCTCACTGCACTATTTTGTGTGTTTGCCCTTCAACCAACCGCTGAAATCTAGTGCTTGCCTGCGTGGGCTCTTGCTGGGCACAATTCTTCATTTCTCCCACCCCCAACGCAACAGGGCTCTGCGAAGGGCGAGTGGTCGACTCCCCCCAACCCCTTTTTTCCTCTGTACCAGCCACTTAAGTTTGAAAGTAGGTAATTGATTGCAAACTGCTATCTGAAACTGTTTCCCTAAATCCTGAATGATGCAGTTTAAAGGCAAAATTCTTCTGATCCCTGGTTTTGGCAAGATAGACATTCCTGGCAGGATCACTGCTCATGAGCAGCCCTCAGCGGCTGTTAGAAAGGTGCTGACAGGCTTTGGCGTGAACTGCTGCAGCTCGCTGTGGTGGAAGTGTTTCCAAATAGTCATAAAGTCATTCAGCACGGAAACAGACCCTTCGGTTAACTCGCCCACGCTGACCAAGTTTCCCAAACTAAACTTGTCCCATTTTCCTGCGTTTGGCCCATATCCCTGTAAACCTTCCCTATCCATGTACCTGTCTAAATGTCTTTTAAATGTTGTACCACTTTCTCGGGTAGTTCAGTCCGCACATGAAAGACCCTCTATGTGAAAAAGCTGCCCCCCGGTCCCTTTTAAATCTTTCTCCTCTCACCTTAAAAATATATAACCCCTAGTTTTGAACTCCCCCACCCTCGGGACCTTTGCTATTCACCTTACCTATGCCCCTCATGATTTTATAAACCTCAATAAGGTCAGCGTCCTATGCTCTAGTGAAAAGAGTCCCGTCCTATCCAAGACAGCAAGGTGCAGAGCTGGATGAACACAGCAGGCTAAGCAGCATCGTAGGAACAGAAAGGCTGACGTTTCGGGCCTAGACCCTTCATTTTATAACTAAAACCTTCCATTCGTGGTAAATCTTTTCTGAACTCTCTCCAGTTTAATAATATCCTCCCTTTAGCAGGGTGACCAGAACTATATCCAATGTTCAATTTGGGGATTTAAAATGATGAAGAAATGGATACTCCTCTCAGGATGGTGTGTAATTTGGATGGAAAACTGCTCAGCCTCCAGCTATGATTTTCCCCTTCTCTGAAGAGCATTCCATTTATGACACGGGGTTTAAAACATCCAAGATTGAAAAATGAGAAGACTTTTTTTCTGACCTTGTTGCTCTCTTTATGAACTCTTGCTGTCACACCAAACATAGATTCAATTCTTTAAATTCACGATCAGAAAGATTAATGGGAATAGTGTCGTTTAGTAGCCAGCAATTACACTTCTTCAAATATGCAACATGACATAAACAATAGTATAATTGCTGGACTGACCAAATATTATTAAAGTCACGAGCTTGGCAGTTAAGTGTGCAGACCGCGCACTGTAACGCTGATAAAAAGATGTATTAGCATTGGAGACTGCTCAAGAGTAGGTTCATTGGGCTGGTATGAAGGGAATGTCTCATGGGGAGAGTGTGAGTAGATTGACCCTGTACTCGTTGAAGTGTAAAAGAATGAAGTGACCTTATTGAAAATTCATAGGGGACTTGACAGGGTAGGTTTTTTTTCACCAGTGGGAGACTCTAGGGATCAGATGACATAACCTCAGGACTGAGGGTCACACATTTGGAACTTGGTCTTTTGAGCCACGATATTGTTGAATGGTGGAGTAGATCCGATGGGCTGAATGACCTACTTCTGCTCCTGTGTCTAATTAATAAAGTATTACAGATGCTGGAAATCTGAAACGCAAACAGAAAAATGCTGGAGAAGCTCAGCAGGTCTGGCTGCATCTGTGGAGAGAAAATAGATTGAGAGTTAATATTTTGATTCCGATATTACTCTTCTTCAGAGCTGTCCTGAATGTCTCCAGCTGCTGAGTTTCTCCAGCATTTTCTATTTTTTTTGTTTTAGTGTTGCTCTGGCCATGAGATCAGAGTTATACTGCTTAATTTGTACCAATGCTTCACATTGGTATTCTCTCTGCAGGGTAACTTGCGTGGGAAATCGTGTGTATTTGTGATGTGCGTGTCTGTTTAAATACTGTAATGTTGTGTCAGTACAGCCCTGATAGATGTTATCTATGGTATAAGTAGTAGATGGTGGAGTAGTGGTAATGACATTTGATTCATCATCCAGAGATTCTAATTAATACTCTGATTTGAGTTCAATTCATTTTTATGAAATAGAAAAAGCCTTCTCTGTAATGATGACTACGCCAATGACCATCAACTGTGGCAAAAATCCATCTGGCTCACTATTGTCTTTAAGGGAAAGAAATTTGCAATTCTGACTTCAGATCCACAGCAATGTGGTTGTCCTCTGAAGTGGTCTAATGGTTACATGCATTCCGCAGGGAATTAAGGGTGACCAACAAATGCTGGCCTTGTCAAAGACTCCTAGATCCCATAAAAGAATAAATTTAAAAATAAACTTCTGCTCATTGTGTGAATTATGCTATGCAAAAGTGTTTGCTCAGAAATGTATTAGTTCTGATATAATGCTATGGATTGAGCACATTGTATTACTTTACAGCTTTGAGGAAGGCCACTTGCCTCATCGTATATATGCAGACTCTCTGAAAGTACTTCCATACATCTCACTATTAAACCTGCAATATTGATTTTAAAACTTGAAAGTTACTATTGAATTGCTTCTGGCACTCCTTTGGACAGTGCATTCCATGTCATATCACTTTATTGCCAAAAAATTACCTCATATTCCCTCTTTTTTTTTATCAATTACCTCAAGCCCGTGATCTTCCTGCAAGGGGACGCAATTCTCCCGTTTTGCTCCATCAAAAATCTTTATAGATTTGAACTGTTCTATTAAGTATCCCATTAATGTTTTGCTTTTCATGCACTCTTCTCATTGTACCGATATAATTTTCTACATGAACACAGATTTGGGCTTTTTTAAGCTAAATCACATTAACATTAATGACCGCTAGCCAGCTGAATTAACAGGCTGATGCGTTGCAAGACGACAGCACAAAGAGGAATTTATGGAGGGGCGTAATAACAGATACACAGACTTCCACAAGGAATTTATTTGATAAACACATCTCCAACGAAATGGTACGAGGTTTGATGTCAGGACGCCAGGGTGAACTCCCTTGTTCTTCTTCAAACAGTACATTGTGATCTGCCGAAATTTGTCCGAGAGAACAGACACGGTGCTGGTTTTATGTCACATTCAAAAGATAGCACTTCTGACAGCGCAACGTTCTTTTGGCGCAGCTTGGACTTCATAGACAAGGCTCTGTAGTCAGGCTTGAAGACATAATCTTTTAAAATACAGGCAAGGCTGTTACCAATTGAGCTATGGCTAGCATTTAGAATGCATTTGTATTTCCAGTATGCAAATTTACTGTTTTTTAAAATCCCCTGGGGAGATTGATATATGTATTGCAGAAGGCACTTGCTTTATTTACCTCATGTGCAGTGCTCACTCTGACTTTAATTTGTTAATTCTGCAGTTGTAGTGATCCTAGCTGCTGTTTATATTCAACACTCTCTTGACTTGCTTCAGTCCAGTGGGGCAGGTGAACCTACCCTGCCATGAGGGATAGATCCAGGATTTTGACTGAGCTACAGTGATGGAATGATGATATACTTCAAAGTCAGGGTGATGTATGACTAGGAATGATACTTACAGATGGTGGTGTCTAATTCTTTCTCCATGGTAGAGGTGTTGCTTTTAGAAGGTGCTGGTGAAGAAGTCTTGGTGAGTTGCTGTGTTGTATCTTATTGATGATATACACTTGCCACTGTGTGTCAGTGGTGAGTTGTGAAATTATTTCTGTTGATGGTGTCAAGGAAGCAGTCGATGGGAATACCAGAGACAACACAGTGTGGAGCTGGAGGAACACAGCAGGCCAGGCAGCAACAGAGGAGCAGGAAAGCTGATGTTTCAGGTCACGACCTTTCTTCAGAAATGGGTCTGAAGAAGGGTCCTGACCCGAAACGTCAGTTTTCCTGCTCCTCTGATGCTGCCTGGCCTGCTGTGTTCCTCCAGCTCCACACTGTGTTATCTCTGACTCCAGCATCGGCAGTTCTTACTATCTCGATGGGAATACCAGTCAAGTTGGGTCCCAAGGTGGAATCTGGCTTGATAAACCATATGTTTTAGTTTTGCAATTTGGCTTTGGTGGTAGTCAGATGCTGAATACATTCACATGAGGCTGCCAGTACATTTTTAATGATAGAACATCAAAGTTTATTACATGAAGAATAAAGAAATCAAAGCTATATATATGTACAACAATTTGAAAACGTCTCATGATTAACACAAAAGGAATGATTCGATGATTATTCTTCCCAGTAATGTGCTTTACAGACACAGCCTAAGTGAAGTATCACTCTTATCTTTATACTTAGATTTCTTATGTAACCAACAAGGTTCTAAGATTTTCCTTTCAGACTTTTTGCGCATTCATCAGATGAGATTCCCACCATTTCTCTCCGAGATGCAAATACACAGGTTAACCGAACATTAGGAAAAGCTTGGAATTTTTCCCAACACTTCTCCTTGAACAGTTAAAAACCTAAGAAATTCTTTTCAGCCTAAAGACTTCCACCAACTCAGTTCCTTTCTGCTGGTATAACCTTTTCTTCTGAACTCAACCCATGAATAGGTCCTGATAATCTGTTTTGTTTTATAGTCAGTAAAGTTCATCTGCATAAGCACTTGATTAAGTAACTCCCAAAAGCTTGC